CGACACTGGCTCTTTTCCTTTTGCGTACACGGCGAATGAGAACGACCCAAATTTGAGTTTAGTTCACTCATAATCGCCAAAAGTGCAGGAACTCAGCGATGTGTAAATTTGTATCATGGTTTCCTGTGGAAAACCTAAAAAATCTGCCACAAAATGAGGAAATTGACGAAAATTTTATTCAGTCTCGTGGTAGTACCAATAGACTGAGTGAATCCAATCTTTACTTTTCTCAAATTCGGGAATTTTTCCCTGGAAAATCTTGGAAAAACCTGGGAAAATATGAGGCAAATTTACTCATCGCTGAGTTCCTGCACTTTATTTCTTATTTCTGAGATAACTAAACTCAAATTTGGGTCAATCTCATTCGCCGTGATATCACCTTGAAAGATATCGGCACCGGTGGTTAGCGTGATTACCTCTCATCCCAGCAGGGCTGGGTTCAACCTCAGTCGCACCGGCATGTTCTGAGGCATAACATATCTGATCCCATCTTCCTTCAAGAAGTAAAGCCGTTGGTCCCCTGTTCATGAGTTGATGGGTCGATATGTAGGGTCCAGGTGTGGGAGCTGCCTTCCTGGCGTCGTCCAGCATTGGAGCTCAGTACGGAAAACAATTAATAGGTCCTATCTACATTGATCGATTCTCTTTATCGATACTCTCTTTCGTAAATAACTCGGCTTCACAAATGTTTCCTGCCGTCTTCGTCGAATTAGATGCTAGATTGTTGCTTCTTCCATCGAAAATATCCGGCCGTGCCGATTCAAAGTTGATCAAGGTTGATCAAAATAATTTGTACCCCTGCTTCCAGTTTGATTACATGAGCATTTTGTGTGGTCGTTGGTTCTGAATATGGACAAACAGGCAGATGAATTCTATTCCTACTCTTTACTGTAATAAGCTTGGTGGCCCTGAAAAGAGCCGTTTTGTTGCCAAAGTTGGTGATGATTCCTCCGAAACCAAACAGAGTGCGTTTCTGTCACTTCAAAACGTAGATGACATCCATGGCCGCTTACGCTTGGCGTGTTTAGTGTAGGTGATAGCATCACGGATCTCATTTTTCAGGAACACCTTCAGCACACCTCGTAAATCAGACCGGATATACGTCAGACACCGCCACGGCGAGCCAGACGGCGTTTGGTTCTGAGTATGGCGATGAGTGTGCAAAATATTACGCATTTCCATCCTCCCTATTCGCACGCGCCCAAGGATCGGAGGCGAATGCCACTTCGACTTGTTTCGTCTACTTACTACCCTCTGGCGACTGTGCTGGGGAAGCAGCATATGCATGTAGGTAATTGGTGGATTTGTTAGTTAATTCGACGCTTTTGGACAATGCTGGACATTTACAAGTTTTACAATAGTTTCTTGTTGAAAATTAACATTTGGAAGCATTGTTATCGATGCGTAGCCATATTTCTGATCGATTGGTGATAAAATTATTGAAATTGGACCAGGGGCAGCTGAGTTATTAACGTTCAAAATCTTTCTTAATTTGTTACATGTTCCATTTTCGGTTTTCACAAAGTGTACCCCCATATAGAAATCAAAGACGTAGTCCTACGTCAAAAATCCCCACCAGCAACATGAATAATAAATTTTGTACCTTTTATTTAATGGAGCAAAGTTGATTATTAGAAAGGCGTGAGCAAAACATAAGCTTTTCCCATATTAATTGCCATATTAACTTCAAATGGTCACTTGTAGTCAACTTTATTTTAGAGATTTTTAGCCTTAGGCTAGTTTATCTCTTTAAGTCAACAAAGGCTTTCTTTCTTGTATTTCTGAATGATCTGTTTTTCGAGCCTAATATTTTTCTAATATATGTTTAAAATATATAGAGTCTATTCTTCTTTCTAATAACTTTCAAATTATTTCGCATCCTCACGTAGTATCCGTACTCTGTACTAGTGCGTCTCTGGTTCCTATAAATTATATTCGCGTTCAAGTTCTGTTTCCTTTGTGATGATCAACCAATTTGTGTCCCATTTCTTCGCTTTGTTGCCTTCAATTCACAGCTTTTTGTAATTTTTATAACACTGGACATTGTTTTGTTTGTTAACAATAATAACACTTTTGTGTATGCTGACATCAAATTGATTGAAACATTTAATTCTTTGCTGCTGTTTGATGTCTGTATTTATTTGTTGGCGTGCAAAATCTACATATTTTATGTGTTTTCTATTTATGACATTCACTGATTGATTCGTTTATATTTTTTCTGCATTGTTGCTATAAGCTGATATGACAAGTTGTTTTTAGCAAGGTTTGCACAAACTGCTTCGATCCGAAAAAGAGCCTACTTTGTTGCAAATAACTTTCATGGGGCACAGAGGATGGTCAATTTGAGTTTTCTTTTAATTTATGTTTGTTTGTTTTTTGGGAATGTTGTTAACTTTGGTATCAATTCATTTAATGTTGTATCTGAGAGTACTTGTGTAACTTTTCATTTTTTATGTTTTTCATATGTGCTCGCTTTGGAGACAGCTTCACGTAGAGTGAATTATATGTAGAAGGCAGTATGTTTCCAAAAAAGTCACCATTTTTAGATAAATGTTTGAACTAAAACAAGAGATAGTCTACATTTTAAAAATAGTATTTTCTAGAATTTTATTTTGTTGTAAGGCTTGAAAGTTTATGTCTGCTCAAGGTTCCTAGGATTCCGTGAATGCTTTCTGTTTGTCCAATTTAATGGTAATTAGAAATGTGTATTGCACGTATATTATATTTTCACTCATTATGTGCTTATGCGCTTCGATTTGTCTTTGTTTCTCTAAAAACTATGTACTAGGTTTTTAAAACATCTGGTAGCTAATCGGATTGTTTATCAACATCATATTTTTGGTTTGTTGGGTTTGCGATCTCTCAATTGTGGAAGTCATTCACATTGAGAGAAAGAGCTCATTCTACTCGTTGATTTTTTCAAACTTATTAAAACATGCTTTTTAGCTAAAAAAAATGAAAAACAATGTAAATAACGTCGTGTTAAAATATACCTCAGTTGAATACGTTTAGCTCATAATTTCATGTAAGAATTACTAATAAATATGATCAAATCATTGTTAATCATTGATTAAGGTTGTATAAATATTTAGATTGTAATTGACATTTACAGCATAAGTTTCCATTATGTACGGGAACCTCTTCAAAATAATTTGAATTGTCAACACTGAGATGAAGCATTTGGCTAAAACATGTATGTACAGGTTCGTCTTTTTCAATTACATAACGATTTTGAAAACAACAAAAAGCAAAAACCACAACTGATGCCGAGCTATCGATGGCCAAAGCATTAACTGCAATCATAGGCTAATCTCCCAGTAGCATACTTGCCACAAATTGGATTTAGAAACTTAAATGCGACTTATTCAGTTACAATCAAGTCATTGCAGCTTTTTGTGACATACTTTGGCCGTAACCACACTAGTAAGCAAAGAATACTAGACATGACATCATTTTGTGTGAATATGCAGTAGTGGTTTAGAGAACCGGTCTTGTGTGTCGTTTTTTTTTTTTGTAAATCTTAACTGAAGAAATGAACGGATCGTGTTACAATTGTGGAACGAAAGACAACGAAACGTACCACGCTAGCTTTGATTTTAGATAAAGAGCGCCTTTTTTAAGGAGATTACGAAAATTTGTATATGTATTAAAATAAATTAAAATGAAGATCTTTTTACAGAAAACTCGTACAATTTAATTTCTCTCTCTTACTACCTATATATTTTTGCTCTGGATTAAAACAAGATGGAAAAAAAAATGTGATGACAACCATAACAACAAACCACGACGACCACCGATGGAGGCGATGATTACGATTGTGCACCGAAAGTTGTTATGATTATAATAAGATTGAAGCTAGCTGATTAGAAGCTGTGCTTCTTCATCTAATTTGCATTCCATCCCTTGATTGCGCTTCCATTCCATTCCATAGCTAAACGATATAGTGGTAGGTTTTTTCCTTATCGCATAATATTTGACCCGTATTTATTGTGTTGTCATTAGGGTGACCATTTCCATGTTGGGTGATCCAAAAAATCGATTTAAAAAAATGACTTCTTTTTAATTCACAATTTTTGAACCACTGAGCCGATTTCAAAGCAGTTATTATAGCAGTTGAGAAGAGAATATCTGTACAAAAGAATGTGATCAATCTTCGTGGTGTAGATGTGCTACCGTCATAAAAAAAACTATGATTATAACCAATATAAAAGAGCCAATTCTGAGATGGCATTTTTCCCGAAATTAAAATCGGTTATCTTTTCCAGTATTTTAACCGATCATATCCGAATAATCCTCTAGGAGGCACAACTCACAGTCTATAATATGATTGTGTACGACAAGAGAATCACAGTTCTACAACTCTGGATGAGATTTGTGGTAAGTATACATAGTACGTTTTTGGACAGCATGCAGCACTTTCCAAGTTCCTCAATCTTGCTAATGCCGGTAAAGCATTTGTGTTTGCACAGAATGGTGCAGATAGCATTAAGAATTTGAAAGGGATGAGAATTATCCCTGCTCACTACTATCGATACGCCCTACAGGAGATCACACAAGCCCAGGATTAACACAAAGGACTTGTAGAACGGATTCGGATAGCTTTGAAAATGATCCATCCTGAAGAAAACTTCCACGTTATTAAGGAATTACATGCTTCGGTGAACCAAATTGCTTTGCCAACAGCTGTTGCATCTTTTTTGAATAACTCTGAACACAAGGAATGAATAAATGAAAGGTAATAAATCCTTTTTAAGAAACATATTTTAAAATTGGAATTTTGTATTTGTTTTTCATGGTTTTCATGGTTTGTAGACAGAGGGCGCAATATGTTTTTATATCTTTCCTTCAAAATTTACGCTTTTTTTCACAGCATATCAAAAAATCAGCGAAGTTTTTTTTTCGTTTTTTATAGGAGTAACTTAAAGAAATATAACTCAAAAACGAAAAAACACATCACTGATCAATTGATATGTTGTGTAAAAAAAACCTTAATTTTCAAGGAAAAATATAAAAACATATTGCGCCCTCTGTCTACACTGGAAACCATGAAAAAACTAATACAATCAAAGTTTTTCAATACAAAATTCAATTTTTTTTAAATCATTGTATTTTTTACAAGTATTTTTAATCACCTTTCATTTGATATTATGATCTTTAAGTGGTTCAAAAAAAAAATACAAATAATATTTTGCGATAAGGAACAAAACTAACAATTTTTAAGTTTATCTTTTTCATATAGAATGGCATATATATAACGAAATAACGAAAATGGTGGTGGGTGATTCGGATGATGATTTCTCTCTGATTTTGGTTTTCCACTCGAGTTTATCAGTGCTTCGGTTTCTTTACTTAAAGGGTTCGGTTGCGGCCGCTGGCATGTACTCCTTCAGGAGGTCACGTAGTCGTAGAATTTCTTTGCCGGCAGCGGCCAGGTCGCCTTGCAGAGAAAGTTCACGCTCCCGTAGCCGTTTGATGTCACGCTGGCAGGTCTGAAAATAAATGGATAATAATTTACATTTAGAAATTAAGGAACGGAATGTTTCATTCACACTGCAGTATCAGTGTACATGAATGCTATTTATGAATCAGTTTAATTCTTCTTAATCCGTCAGTGTTCTTGCAAGCGACTACTACTGCCTCTACCCTTAACATAAATTAACTACTGTTCCCATAGATGTCACCACGGTACCATTATGATCGCGCACGGATAGGACCCGATTTGTACATAGTGTGATAAAAGGAAATATTGAAATGATAAATTGACCGTCCTGCCATAGCGGAAGTATGGGAATCTTTAAACGTTTATTTATTGTAACATAACAAGGACAGTACATAACAAGCAATTCCAATGATACGAAGACAAGTGGCGACATCTATGGGCAGGTACAGTAGCTAAAAAGTAGAGGCAGTAGTGGTCGCTTGCAAGAACAATCAGTTCTCGCTAGTATCGTTTAAAAAAAACCAACTGTCAGCTATTGTGGATAGTACACTAATAAAGATTTAAAAAAAACTTCAAATTTATCCAACATCAGAAAAATTGTCTATACAGGGCCGGTAATACTTGCTTGAAATGTACCACCATTATTATCACATAAAATGCCTCACATTTTTAAAACTTTTAGTGCCGACATTTTTTAAATGCATGAATTTGTGATTTTTGAATATGAACAAGATGTTATTTTACAGAACATGCCATGAACAATTTGCCAAGAACGCTTCATATACAGTAGTTTTATTATTATCAGTATCGTCCTATGCATGGTCGTATTTATATTTATGGAAACTCAGGGCCATAAATATGTGGGAACCCATCGAATGCACCAAGTGGATTTGTACAGTAATTAATTTTCAGAATCTTCAAACCAAACTTCTTACTAATTAATTTATTCCTTTATTTGTATCTTATGATTAATATGATCCCAGGCCATTTTTTCAATCTTGATTACTGTCGTGGCGGGCTTTTTTGGACTGTACGGGCTATCCAAGTAACATACATGTTTTATAGCAGTGTATGTAACCTCAGTATGACTGGTTTTGGTTGTAAAGAAGTTTGCTCAACATAATTCAATCAATGTGTGTTACTTGGGTACTTTGGATACTTTCAAACTTGATAAATCATATGAAGTAGATTAAAGAATGGATTAAATGTTTATCCACAACTAGTTACTGGGACTATAATTTACTCGATCGTATAAAATCCTCAGTTAAGCACTTCCCAGAATTAAACCGAAAAATGTACCAACAAGTTTTATTAAAATTGACCTTCCCAAAAAATTTACCCAAAGGCGTTGTTGAAACTTGTGACTCACAAGTTTCAACAACGCCTTTGGGTAAATTTTTTGGGAAGCAGTGCTGTAAATTTTCATATCATTCGATTGAAGATGAACCACTACAACCATTCAATCAATTCTGTGAAAACGAATTCTCACATGGCCATAATTTGAAGAGCCCCTTTCTCATTCGAAGCTCACTGTCACTGTCAATTGAGTCACTCAGTATCATTTGATATACGACAGTGGAGTATGGAAGAAATCCAGGAAAATTATCCCGAACAGACAAGTCGACCCGATGTCGGATCAACGTAAGGCTAATTTAAGGTCGATGTCGACCCAATGTCGTGTTAATGTCGGGTCAATTTTGGGTTTATGTCGGGTCAATGTCGGGTCAACATCGGATTGGGTTTTGATAGAAGTCAGGTTGGTGTCGGGTTGGCTTAGCTTTTTCGCCAGAATGTCGACCAGAGCTCCGTTTGTGTGTAGGTTACACTCAATCGAATGATATATAGCGTTTCTCAAATGAGAATGATCCATGCCTTCGTCAAATGACTAAGCAACTGATATCACCCATTCGGAGAAGGTCCCCTTTGATAGCGAATAGCTACTTTTCTCATTTTCATCAAAAATGTTCAAATGATTTTGAGAATTTACAGCACTGCTTGTGACAACAAGCCCCTATCGGGAGTCGATAAGCATTCATAATACTGGATAGTGCGGCACTTTTTCCATATGTCGATGGTTATCTCGGCCCCTTCAAACGGTCTAGTAGGCTATTCTTATTCTATATCTCGATCTCTTAATATCGAGCGATAGCAGTGCTATAATGAGCAACCACTCAACCGAACAAGCCAACAACTATTATTCATATTGTTGCTTGTTGAATGATGAATGAATAGTAAAGCAGTAATGGCTCATTTATATACATAAAACAGATAAGAATTAGGGAACTTAGTAACATGAATTCCAGTATAAGCGGTCGAATTAAATACAGAAACACACCTACTGTTATACACCTACACTTTGCATACAGAAAATAAAGAATATAAAAAATTCCAAGATCATAACCAAATTCGATCAAATTAGGCAGTTTTTTGGGACCTCAATACAATCGAAAGAGCAGTGGGGAGCAGAGAGTTGTAAAGTTGACCCACGATAGTGGTCATACAAAAGGCGAAACTGTCAAATTCTCACTATATTCAAATTACTATTTGATATTTACCCATGCTAATCATAATCATGAAATCGGAAAATTCGTTCACATACGAATACAATATACTAAAATGGAGTACACATCTACTTACCACATTCTGCCTCAGGAGATCCAGTTTATCACACTTTAGTCGGGTAATTTCTTGCTTAAACCCGTCCATTTGCTGCATAACATCCGGCGTTATCAGGAGTGTCCCAGTGCCTGCACCACTAACGGTATTGCCACCGCCGCCACCACCACCACAACTACTCACATTCGTACCGGCACTTCCGGTACTGCACCGCAGATCACGCGTGCTATCACACCCAGTGCTTCCAGTTCCGACGCTGACGCTGATCACGCTGCCACCTCCGTTCGTTGATCGCTCCACCCGGTCCCCGTCCAAGCAGAGCGAACAGGCTTTGGTTGTAGCATCAGCCGAGGACATCGATTCCAGCCCGGTGTCACTGTCAATGTACGTCGCTCCGGCATCTACATTTGGGAAAACTTTGATTCGTAAATCAATTTTGAAATTAGGATTAAATAAAAAATGAAACAAAGTGCCAGTCGGGAAAACCAAAAGCAACGCAAATGTGTGGGCAAATTGTTGTAATTTGTTTGAAAATTTGCAGCAAAAAGCGAAGAAAGAGAAAAAATGGGGAAAAGAGAGCAAAACATTGAATTATTAGTATACAAATTGGCTAAAGCTACCATGAAGACTGTTATGAACAATAACTGCGGCTATTACGCGCAATCAAGTTGCATTGCGGATATGGTTGGTGAGTGAAAATGTGAGAAGGGGATGACACTTACCCATCGGATCCAGATCAACACTGTTCAAGCTGGAGTCATCACTAGTTTCGGACATTGCCACTGGGCCGTTAATATTGTTGTTGTTATTATTGCTAACGCCATCGGAATGTCCTTTAGCACTATGGGCACCATTACCACCGTGATGGTTGTTGTTGGTTGTGTTGTTATTATTGTTGTTCATATTGTTTGGATTGATCGAACAGCGGGATGTGATGTCCGGTGAGGAGGCTACTGAATCGTTGGGAGACTTCCGCGAGCCCGTCGTGCTACTTTTCGAAAGTGATCGACCGATCTGTTTCGGGGTGAAGTTGGCCAATAGAATTTAGGAGTTAAAGCTAAAACAATAATAATACTTACATTAACTACTTGTCCCGGTCCACAGGGCACGTCGGAGATCTCCTTCGATTTCTTGATGGAATTCTGATGCTTTGGATTGGATTCGACGCTTCCGTTCGTGGGATCAGAATTTTGTGAGCGAAGACGAGCGTTTAGAGCTTTCTTTACTGTGTCGATAAATCGCGAACCGGTAAAGCCACCTTCGGATTTGGGCGTTTCCGGAGTAGGAGAAGAAGGAGCTCCTAGCAAATCAGCTCCTAAAAATTCTCGCGTTTTCTCCTTCAGTTCATCTACTAAATTCTGAAGTAATGACGTTCTCGTACGCAGCTCTAACTGAGCAAATTTGTCCGCTTTGTAGCAAGCGTTTTCTGCGTTGATCAGCTTGGTGAGGAGAAATTCTTTCAGCTCTGGTCCCTTCTTAAATACTGATGGTTGGGGGAGGGTTGGGCCAAAGAACGGCACATCATCCCGAGCAGTTACTGAAATCTTATACCGGCAATTTGGTGTGTTTGGATCCACAGGCTGGATAACGATGAACGCGTGCAGGAAATGACTTGCAATCATCGCTGGGGAGAAAGGTGTGTTTTCCTCCTGGAATACGATTGCCACGATATCGTTACCGATGTGGCGCTTCCGTTGTAATTGTTGGGGATCGCCTTCGGTGTACGGTAGAAGCGTAGACACATGGAACATAATTTCCCGTTCTTTGAATATTTCGTATACAGCGGTGTCACCGGTGTGACCGTTCTGAATATCCAGACCACCTCTGTAACCTTTGTGATCACGAAGTCGTATTCGTTGTCCCAGTAGGTCGAGGAACTCTTCGAGTGCTGGAGTCGTGTCGCTGTTGCAGAAGAGTTCTTCCTCCGTGGTCTGCCCGTACCGTTGATATAAAACGCCAAATTTAAAGTTCGTTACTAACACGTGTTCATCGTAACTCGCGATTAACGTGGATGCTTTCGGACACAGCACAGGCATGAAACTATCTACGTTGATCTGTTCATTTAGAAGTCGTGCCATCTTGATCGGAGACGGGTTTGATCCTAAACACGAAGCTGGAATGATTTCGTGCATGGTTCCGGTTCTTAGTCGGAGTAATATTCGAATGTGATCTTGATTTGCTACATTCTCCGACTTGATCGAGAGCAATACTGGACCGAGTTGATCATCGTGACCTACAAGATTCGAGTGTTCCCGTGAGCTGAAAAACCTTCGGTAACATTTGGCCGTGTCGTCAGATTCGATCTTGCCCACCCGCCACGTAGTGTGAGAAGGGATGTCATAGCCTGAATCATGATCAGTACCGTCTAGCCAATAACCCCCACTGTTAGGTATCACAATCATCGGATATGGTGCCGGTTTACTGAGATGGTCTTCTAGTAACCGCTGAAGTGGTGGAACTGTCGAAATTATCGATGAACTTTGGGAACTTACTGACGACTGGCTCTGATACTGGGGATGGTGATGAAGCGAGCCACCATTCGAGAGCGTGTGATGTAGGTGACCGCTGGAGCTGTTCGACAGCAGATGCGGCGAGGCCGGTGTTGAACTCGAGTTTGAATGTGGATTCGAGGACATACTGTTCGAGTGTCGCAGCAGCGATCGCGTCTGTTGCGGAATTTGTACCGTAAGATTGTTCGGCGTGTCATTGTTGGTGCCGTGCGGATTGGAGATTCGTTCTTCACGTGTACCCTGAAAAAAAATAAATGAAAAATTGAAATTTTTCTCTACGCCGGGGTTTTTTGTGTTTTGTGTTTGTAATTTGTATTCTAACGCATTCGTTTGTTTGAAGAATCCGCTTGTTTGATATCCATTTTTAAGAGATGAACTAGCCTCAGGCTAAAAATCTCTAAAATAAAGATTAAAAAAAAAAAAAAAAAAAAAAAAATGATATCCATGAAAACAACGCTAGTACATCTAGCGATTAGCACAACTGGTACGTGACTTTTAGCGCTGATGTATGTATGTATGTATGTATGTATGCATGTAAGTAGCCACCATCCTAGCTTGGGTCTTGCCGTGCATGCGGCTCCACTCAACAGCAAGATCAAATTCCGTCATCATTCTGAATTCAACATACTGCTGTATGAAGGGCCAAAAAGGGTTGGACGGGCCCGTAAGCAGAGGCACTTACGCGAAACCCGCGGGAATAAGAGAATCTCCTTCCAACAGTAAGATCCAACAAAACAAATAACGAAATTCGCAATTCATGTTAAGCTTTCCACGGGATGGTTTGTTTAAGAAGAGCGCGTCAAATTCATTGCAACTGTTGGAGTGAAATGTAACTATCTAAAATGACAGTACACATTCCCTCCTAGACTCCGGTTGGCACTCCACTGCATTGTCCAGTTACAACATCAATGATGCCCTGAAGCTCCCTCCCGTCCCAGTATCATGTAATATATAATGTATATAAAATATGTAGTAAAATGAAAAATATAATAAAAAATAAAGATGTTTTACAAAATACAAATAACCTAGATTATTGGGTCCTATACACACACTTTTAGTTTTATGTGCCATGAAATGACATAATGCATCATTTTATGTTTTGAAAATATAATACTAAAGCATTGTATCAATAGACCGAAAATCGAGGTTATTTGGACATGAGACATTATATTTAAAAGGATACTACAAAACCGACCATCAAACGCACTGCCCACAAAAGCAGACACGTCCCCTCGAAAATGCAATCGAGAAATGTACAAGAACAATCCTCAATTGGAACGTACTCACCAAATCAATATATCCCGGAGCGCATTCCCGATGCCGTCGAACGGCAAAAAAAGGGAACTCGGCGAGCAAATTTGTGATGCGAAATTTTCACTGAAAACAACCGCGAATTTCACCACACCCAACTGCGAAACACGTTCAGAAGCACTTTTGGTACACTTTCGATATCAATTTCGTTCGAAAACACTTAATTTTTTTTTTTTTTTTTTTTTGCAAAAATAGTTGCAAGTGAACCAACACCAAGTGAAATTAATCATTATCACTCGCGATGCCACAAATATCTGGTCCGGGAGAAAAAAAATCAAACAACGCAGAAAGCGCCAAATCTTCTGATGCTTGCAAACATGATGAATCACTCACGTTGCTTAATTTTCTCTAGTCATTTTGTACGTGACTTTTAGCGCTGATTGGCAAAAAAATATGGCGACGATTGTAGTCATGGCAGTTTGTGGCGGTGGTAACAACTCCGTACATGTGTGAATGCTACGCTAGAACCCGATCGATTCAAAAGTAGCTCGAGGAACTCGGATACCCAACTCTCATTTGAATAGCACGATGTAAAAAAGCAATAGATTCCTCACCCAGTATGCGTTAAGGGGAGGTTCTCATTCAAATGGCCAAAAAGAAAGCAAAGTTTGATATTTTTTGTGAGCCAATGAAAAAATATAAAAGGACGCCTTATTTTCAATTTTTTACAAGGTGAAAAAAAATGGCGCCCGTGGCGCGTTTTGAGTAAGGTAGTGTAAATTGTCAAACTGTGTACAGCCTGTTACCTCAGGATCGATCTGAAACACAACACGATTAATTAGGCTTTAAAGAAAACTAAATGTATTGGAGGAATGACCTAAGAGCGCCCTAATAAAAATTGTATGGTTAATTTGCTTAACGACGTGTTCTGGGTATCATCCAAACCATTTGTGGAATAGTTCAATGATTTGGGTTATCGTTCGTTTATGGTTATTTTTTATTAGGGCGGGTAAAAAACTTGAAATTTGACAAAATGGTGCGATCTTAAACTTTTTGGTTGATTTTCTCCGCTTTTTTTCTTAAATTCAGGAAAGGTAGGAGCCCGGAGGCAATCAAGATGTAGCTGTTATAGATGGGTTCTGGTGTGTGTATAACTCTGTCGATAGCGAGCGCCGTCACCTCCAGGTCATAGAAGAGGCGGCTGTCAATGGCTACCCGGAAGCGGATGTTCCTGTTGTTGGTACGATTCAGTCGAGAGATGCTCTTGCTAATATTAACCCAACTTTTAATGCTGACCTTGACTGCTTGGAGGTGCCTATCGAAAGACAGGGACCTGTCAACCAGCACACCCAGCACTCTGACTAAGAGATGAACTAGCCTATGGCTAAAAATCTCTCAAATAAAGAATAATAATAAAAAAAGCTACGTAACCTACGGAATCGGCCCACCTAACAACCCAGACACAGCGGCCTGCATTTTGATCCGTCTCCGTGTAGATGTCCTTCCCGGGACGACCAGGAGAACATCGTCCGCGTAAATGAAAATACCCAGACAACCAGAAGTCGTATAACAATGTACAGACAGCATTGTAAATAACTACATTTTAAGTCAACATCGCATATAAGTATGACATACATCGCATTATGTTTAAGTTAAATCGTATAGAATGCAAATTTCCGCAAATTTATATGCGATGAATCATTTTTTCAGCGTACTGTATCACAAATTAAATCGGATTGCATCGTAAGGCTTTTCAAATTGAATTTTTTATTACAGATTAAATCGTGTATAATGTCAAATCAACTCGTTTAAAAAGAAATTGAAATTTGCACGTATATAGCGTCCACTTTTGTAGGTATAGGCCCTTTTTGCAATCTATACGATTTGTTTGTTTGTATATATGTTTGTATATCACAGAAACAACTTTGAATATACGAGCATTCTGGTTGTCTGGGTATGTACCCATTTTGGTAACAACAATAAAGGACCCTTGAGGGACTCCCGACCCCCTTGTCGAAAGTCCGGGACAGCGTTTTTCCTACAATAACCCGAAAAGAGCGGTCGTGTAAGTCACTTTAGCAAAGTTCACTACATTCCCGGTTAGTCCCCAGTTCATCAGCTGCTTAAGGACGAGGAGAGAGGAGTCCACGTGAACACCGGGTACGAGTTGGTGAGCCAGAGATCGTTGAAAAGCTCCAGCATCCGTGTCTTTCCATGCGTGTGCATTAGAGTGATGCAAAATTTGAAATTTTCGCTCCACAATACTTAAACGATTCCAAATCGGATCCTGACTAACCTCTCAAAATTTGACCCCATTTGGTGAGAAACTGAGATGGCACAAACCATTTGAAGTTCGTATGGGGATTACTATGGTAAAACCAAGATTTTTGTTCATGTCTATCAAATAATTCACAATTTCGGTTTACTTCAAAAACTTTCAATTGTACTTGTAGGAAATTTTTCCAGCTACAACTTTGCTGACGACCACTTTTTGATTAAATGCAAGGATCGAAAGTTATCAATGGTTCAATGCGCTGATGTCTTATGATCATGCTCAATCAACGGCTCAGCAGGCAACATTGGTGTTTCTGGGGCGTTGAATAGGAAACAAAAATCATGGCTACTATGTCACACTGCAAAATACAGTGTTGCCTACAGAGCAGCTGCTTGATCATGTCATAAGTTTACCAATCTCTTAAATAATTAATAACTTTTTCTTGTCTCGTTTTACATAGAAACGGTCTTCAGCAAAGTTGTAGCTGTGAAAATTTTCTTTAAGAATGGGTGTTGAACTGTTTCGCAGCTCAATATGGAAAAAGACTAGAAGGCAATGAACAAAAAGTTGAGATTTCCCATAGTAATTTACATGTAAACTTCAAATGGCTTGTGCGAAGTTTGTTTATAACCAAATGAGTTGTAACTTTGGGAGGCTAATCAAGATCCGATTTGAAACCATTTAAGCACTGTGGAGCGAAAAAGTCAAATTTTGCATCAGTCTACTGTGCATGTTTGTAATCAATCTTATATAAACATTGTATGCGTGCTTATCCTAGTTGGTTTTGGATAACTCGCTGAAGAAAGCTTATTAATTTAATTGTGCCCAGGAGATACAGATTTAAAATACATGTTCATGGTTTCTGTATAGAAAATATCAAGCTGAACATTGCATTAGGTCCTAAGTAACATTGACAGATTCTCTTTGTCGACTTTCTATATAGCATCTAATACGTCAAACACATCAAGAAACGGTTCTGTGCTTAAGTAGTTAACGAAAGAGAAAGTTGACGAAGAGAATCGATCAATGTTACTTAGGACCTAATGCAATGTTTAGCTTGATAGATCATTAAATTTACTATCGAAATAAATTTAGTAACGAATGAAAAATAAAATAAATATGAGATCAATAGGGGGTCACTGGGTTCAAAACTGACGACTTATGTTACTGCAAAGGACACGCATGCTTTAACTTGACTGGCAATGGTAGGTGGGGCCAAAACTGGCACACTTAACTACCCTATGGTGACAATAATGGAACAGAGAGGCACCACGTGGATGAATTTCTGCAGCGTGATGCTGTATGACAATTATCGCATCGCATGATCCAATGTTGGTAGATCAAAATGCGGTTGAATCATTTTGAATAATAGGCGCGTCTGGAGGTGTTAAACAGTTATGAGTCGAAACATTTCAGGTATTTATCTTGTTTACTGGTATCGTTCATTAATTCCTTTGGGTGGTTTGCATTATTGATGTAAATTTTAAGAAGTGCAATCCTCTTGCAGACACTCTTCGCATTGGATCGGTGAGAAAACGAAGAAGAATAGAAGAAACAAACAAAAGATAACAACGGCCAACACGCAATAGATCTATTATGATAAGCGATTGCGTGTGAATTTTTAAATCATTTTCAACTGCAGAACTTTTGCACCACATTGCACTGAACGAGTTTAGACCACGACATAGCTGAGTTGTTTTAAGAGAGCCCACCT